CCCGCTCCCCCCCCCCCCCCGCATTTTCCTGGCCGTGTGACCGGAGCCTTTGACTGTAAAAACACAGACTGTCGTACATAAGCAGACCTTGATGATCTATGCTGCACGAACAGCAATTGCTACTTGTTGGAAAGATCCAAATCCTCCCACATTGGGACTCTGGTATCAAAAGTTGTGGGACCAATTCCTTATGGACTCAGTTACCAACAAACTTAATAGATTAACCCAAAAACCCATAGAAAAACCTGTAATGGAAAAATGGGATCCTATATTGGAATTCTTAGCAACAGAAGATTTATTTATTTATTTATTTATTTGATTTTTATCCCGCCCTCCCGCCGGAGCGGCTCAGGGCGGCTTACAACAATAAAACAATAAAACAATTCATCTTACCCTCCTCTTGGCAGCAATTTAGGGAATGGATGTAAACCCTCTCCCGACATTGGCAGCAAAAATAAAACTAATTCGCTAGTTGTACATATACTGGATAATTATCAAACAATGGAACTTAGTTAGCACCCATATGCCAAAATTTTGTTGATCTTTGCTCTATTCTTTGATTTTAGAGTGGAAAGTATATTCTTCTATTTTTGAAACAATTAATTGTACTTTTTCTGACTTTTGATGTTACCTACCTTGATATAAGCTTGTTATTACTGTCATTATTCTGAACTTTTATGTATCCTACTTTATAACGAAAATAAAATTATAAATTAAAAAGAAAACACAGACTGTCAAGCATATGGCAAGCCACCCTCCCCAAATGGTGGGCTATACTTGGGTTGATGGATCTCAAGCTGTAGCAGCTTGAACTAGACTCTAAAATTAATACAAGAGGTTTGGTGCCTGATAACACACCGTCACATTCTATTGCTTTGTACCAATATTGATCAAGACAACAGGTCATCCTTACTCTGGCTGGAAGTTTTATATCTGTCCTTGCTCCAGCTTCTAAAAGTAACTTCACTACTTTCACATCTGCAGATTTCACAGCAAAGAAAAGGACGTGCATCGGGTTGCAGCTTATATTGGGATCTGCGCCTCTCTTTAGGAGCAGTTTGATTGTAGCCAATCTCTTTTTGTTCCTAAAATCAGCAGAAGATATGAGTCTTATCAACTGTTAATATATCTTATAAGATTATTAAAATAACATTTCTAATCCTAGGGTGACACATGATACAAAAACAAAGTATATTTTGGCTGTTCTTTTTTTTTTAAGTTGTGTATTTTTTTATTATTTATTATTTGTTTTTCGGAGGAAGAGGAAGGGAGATCAGCAGCAACGCAGACAGCCTAGGCAGTAGCCAAATTAGCCTACAGGAGGCCGGTAATATCATTAGCCCTCTCCCATGCTGGGTACTCTTGGCCCACCCTCTACGTGTCACATTGCGGGTGCTCAATGGACAACCCTGGCTTACTCCTGAAGGTTGTTGCTCTGCATTCTTCTGCAGCCACTTACTCTGTTATGGATATTGCCATCCTTCTTAGTGGGCCTTCATTGTGAATCTCCTCAACATCAGGGGTGTAGGGTATGTCCAACATGTGTTGGCTGAGAACAGCTGCGCCGTGCTGCAACATTTCTCTAGAAACAGTCATCTTAAAGTTGTAAACACCATAATGGGTCTCAGTGCTGCATGCGGTCCTCTTTTCTCCAGCTCGAGACCCCCTATCTTCTGATGACTTTGCCACAGTCTCTGTGCCAGAATTTGTCTTATCAGCAGAGACTGCTACTCCTCCTGTGGATGCAGGGGCAGAGATCAGGGATTCTCTGTGTTCTGCAGCGTCCACGGTAAGTTGAGAAGCCTCTGACAGTGTCCCTGAACCTGTTTCTTCTGGTTCCTATGTAAGGAAAACATAGGTTATAACTATTTCAATCAAAGGGGCCACTCTGCAGCAACAACAGAGACTACATCATTGTTATCCATTTGAATTTTAATAGATATGTATTCAGAAAAAGTAGTAAAAGTCTGATCAAACTATGCTAAGAATTTTATTCAGCAAATACTGCCTCCACATAATCAAGATTTTTATTACAACTAGAAAGTCTTGAAACAAACTGTTTTAAAACTAGAAAGGATACTTAGGTAAAATCCCATTTTTACAAGTGTGTAAATTTGATACCTATTTTTGTCACTCTACTTATATAAAGAGCACGCTACAAAATAAAACTGTCCTGCATCAGCTTCATACATGGCGGTGCTGGGGGTGAGGACCGGGGAGAGGAAGTCAGCCACAAACTGTGCTTGCTTCCCAGACACTTATGAACCACTGCCACTGCCAACACATCTCAGACCTCCGGCTCTTTGGCACAAATTGCTATACACGATAACCTGACATGTCGGATTCCATCCTAGTATCCAGAATCACAGAGATTAAAGCCTTAAATATACATCTCAGGGCCACATCTGAATTTTTCTGCTTTTTTATGCACTGCACTTTGACAAAGACCTGTTTTCAGCTCCCCTTTCCTATTTTTAGACGTGTTTTCTTTTAACAGCCACAACCGTTAATCTAAGTGATGTGACAGTTGTGCCCTGTATTGTGTTCAACACTTCGCTTAACTACACAACCAGGGGGGGTAATTCATTCAACTCCAAGACAGCCTTGGGATGCCAAGCCAAAGCAGCTGCCTGACTGTTATTATGTCTTGTACTCAATCAGCTTTGAGTGAGTAGCAAAATCAGTCAAGTAAATAATGTAAACCTGAAGAAACTTGTTGGGGAAAAAAACTGGTATGCACTTCACACAACTGTATTTCAGACGTACAGATTTATGAAAGACTGACCTCTCTTCTAGAAATACTCCTTTCAGCAATATTGGGCTGAAATGATTCTGCAGGGAAATAACGAATAATGCACATAGATAGAGCTGATAATCCTTCATCACTGCATTTATTCACATCAGCCCCATTATCAAGAAGAAGATTGATGATATCATCATGGTAATTCATCTGCCAAAGGGGAAAAAAACAAGTCATTTTCATACAGGAGTAATATCTTCTTCTGAATTCTAATATTTTTCAAATCTTAATTTGAGAAAAAGAGCTTCAGGTTGTAAATCTCCCTTTATAGACAGAAACATACTCTACACCAGTCGTTCCCAAAGTGGGCAGTACTGCCCCAGGGAGGCAATGGGATTACACAGGGGATGCTAAGAGGCAAGAGGGCAGAAGGTGGGTACTGGAAGTGGGCCCCTTTGACCGTGTTGTTCACTTATTTACCACTGACCAGGCTACAGCCTATAGCGAAACATTTTCCTTGCTTCATCTTTAAAGTTTTACCGCTCTTTTTGCTTTCACAGTTATTTCCTCTGGTCACCTTTGTTTGTATTTATGAGTCTAAGTTGTCACAACTCACAAGGTAGGCAATGGCACTCCATGTTTCTGCCTCTGCATAGTGCTGAAATCTGGTGGAAACTATCAGCATTTTTAGTGAATATGCCAACAGAGCTTTAGTCAGACCTGTAGAAAAAATGTTGCCACAACAGCTGCCAATGTGCCTAATATGTGAAAAGGTCTTTTCTAATGAGGCAATGAAGCCCTTCCATATGAACTGAATATTTGAAGAAGGCACATCCTGACAAGGCAGACAAGAACTTAACTTTTTTCAATCACTTTGTGTCCAGATTCAGAAGTGGCCAACACTATCAATGTCCAGGACTGCCAATGCCCCTAGACTCCCCTGAACCATATCAACCCCTCCCCAGCACAGACCAGACAGCAGCAGGGCAACAGGCAGCTGGGGAGAGTCTCCCCACAAGAAGCAAGATGCCTTCACTGATCAGCTGGCCCACTCCTTGGCCAGGGAGCACAATGAAGAGGTGAGGAGAAAATCCCACAGCAGGAAAGGGTGAGTGGCAACTCATGCAGCTACAAGGCTACCACTGACTCCCCCTCCAAAGAGGGGGGGGGGAGGGCAGGAAAATGCTGCAGAAACCACCCCCCTCACCCATTAGGGCTGGCACAGCAAGGAGTGTGGTATCCGGGCGGGGCTCTGCCTGCATCCACAGCTGCCTGGTGAGCGGCTGGAGTCTCAGGGAAGGGAGGAAGGGCAACAAGGTCTCACCCATCCCTATAAGATGCTGGAAGGGAAGGGTGGGGGTGGGGAGAACGGCAGAGCCCTACACTACAAAGGGAGGCTTTTCTGAGAGGCTGAGGAAGTGGGAGAGTATATTCCACTCTGAGAAACAAGCCAACCAGGGCTCAGGAGGGCAGTGTTCCCTCTAAGCTGAGTTAGTGTGAGCTAGCTCACATTTTTTTACCCTCTGGCTCACTCATTTTTGTCTTAGCTCAGGAAGGATAGCTCCAGATCAAACTAGTTTATGCAGTAGCCAAATCACCTGCTCACAACTTTAATGCTAGTAGCTCACAAAGTAGAATTTTTGCTCATAGGGCTCCATAGCTTAGAGGGAACATCGCAGGAGGGTGCAGCTGATTTAACCTGTTCTGTGATCCATCCTGAGGCCTGGGAAGCTCGAGGGAAGGAGAGAGCAATGGCCAAGGGATACCCTGCCGGGGTCGCAGGGGGTGCGGCCTCTCAATCAACAAAACACTGATTATTTTTGTGCATCCTACAACATTTCATTGTTGACTGCTAAGTCTAGAAAGCCACATAAATTGGTGAAGAACTCATCCTACCAGCAGTTAGTGAGGTTCTGACAACTGTTTTGCATAAGTCACCACCTGATATAATTAAGATAATTTCCTCAGCAACAATTCAGTGCAAAGACGCATAGATAAAATGTCTCAAAATGTGGAAGATACATTGTGCAGCATACTAAGGACAACAGAATTTTCATTACAGCTGGATGAATCAACTTTGCTAGCAATGACTCTTTGCTTCTCACTTATGTGCACTTTATGAAAAAAACAGTTTGCCTTGATTGTTGTTATCTGCAAGGCAACTAAGAACAGATACTAAAGGGAGGTCAATATTTCATGTTGAGCAACTCTTAACGACAAGAAAATCCCACCTACTAACATACTTGCTTGTACAGCTGATAGAGCACCATGAATGACTGGTTGCTACCATGGATGTGTTGCTTACTTGGGGGGGGAAAGTAGTACCAAATGTCTTTACCATTCACTGTGTCATGCATCACCAACCTCTGGCTGCAAAAAACATCAGTGATTGCCTGAATGTTTGCACAAGTCATTACATACTTTGTTACTGCAATCAATAAAATCCCATGCTCCCAGTGATTTACTATTCCAGGAGCTCTGCACTGAGAATATGAGGATTTTGAATGTTTGCAGCTTCATATTGAAGTTCATTAGCTATCAAAAGGCAACTATGTGAGATGCTTTTACAATCTTTTTGATACTGGTATAGAGCTTTCTGAAGACACGAATGCTTTGCTCAGTGATAAACTCTAAGAGATCAGGCATGACACTGCATCTCTATCAGAACTATGGAAAGTTCAACTAAATGAATTTGCAGTTGCAAGGAAATTAGGTCAATCTTATTAAGGCCAAATCTGTCATCTCTATGTTTATTTCAAAGTTAACTCTATTCAAAGGCAAAACAGGCTGTCGCAGGCTATACCAATTTCTGAGCCTGTCTGAGCTAGAAGAGAAAAGTGGGAGACAAGATGATGATCTGCATATTTTTTGTGACCATTTGGATATGCTACATGAAGATATGTCTGAGCGATTTGAGGATTTTCTTCTGGTAGAAATTGCAGATTGAGTGATAAATTCATTTTCAGATACAGAGGAAGTTGGGGTAGTAAAGGAAGAACTAACTGAGCTACAAAATTACATTGAGCTGAATCCACTGTTAAAGAAATCATACCAAGAGTTTTGGCTACAGAAGGAAATTTATGATTACTATCTTGCACTATGGAGAGTGGTTAAGAAAGTCCTTATTGCATTTCCAACATCATATTTGGTGGAAGGTGTTTTTAGTTTGGTCATCCAACTTCTCTCCAAGCAAAGAAATCAACTCCAGATTACTAAACATAGTGATTTAAGACTCCTGCTAAATGACTTTAAACTATTTACTTATTACTTTAACTTTTACCCCGCCCTCCCCACCAAGGCAGGCTCAAGGCGGCTTACATAAAACCAATAAACAATGTACATATCACAATAAAATACATAAAACATCATTTAAGACCGTTAATAAATCAATGGCAGTACAGTATAGTAAAGTGCATTCATGAACACGTTCAGCAGTGAATACCATTCTAGGTAGCTTCTAACTAGGTAGGCACAGAGCATAGTTGATAAGGTGCAGCTCCTATCGGAATGCCTGCTGGAAAAGCTCCATTTTCACGACCCTGTGGAACTATGAGAGGTTCCGCAGGGCCCTGATCTCGCCAGGGAGCTTGTTCCAATAGGTCAGAGCTGCCAAAGAAAACGCCCTGGTCCTGGTCGATGTCAGCCTGGCATCCTTCGGACCAGGGGGGGCCAAGTGGTTTTGTGTTCCTGATCTCAGTGTTCTCTGGGGAACATGCGGGGAAAGGCAATCCCTCAGGTAGGCAGGTCCCTGACCATAAAGGGCTTTAAAGATCAAGGCTCCTCGGTTTCCCACACAAAGCCGGCACACTCAATGCCTGTGAGCCTCGGCACCGGAAGCGCCCTGAAGGAGTAAGCCTCCCAAATGAACAGAGCCACTCCCCCCCACCCCTTAGTCCGACATTGGTGGAGGACCGAGAACCCAGGAGGAGCCAACTGGGAGAGAGCAACTACCTCCCCATCTCGTACCCAGGTTTCGGTCACGCACGCCAGATCCACATCCTGCTCTAGTAGGAAGTCACGAAGAACTGAGGTCTTATTATTTATGGATCTGGCGTTGCACAGCACCAATGTCGGAGTGGGGTTTTTAATCCTCACCCCACTGCCAGCCACCTTTGGGATGGGACGCAGGCTGGAAGGTGGCCGACCTTCTCTGTTTCTCTGCCCCCTTCCCTTCCATTTCTATCTGGTCTCACTACAATACCTTCCCCTCCCCAGGAGCACTGGAATACCCTGGCCCATCGTTATCAACTGCAAATGGTCTTTGCTACCCAGAGCCTCAGATCTCTAATCATTAAACAGATGGTATAGCCTAGTATGGTACCCCTATACTGGCAGTTTGCAAGTTCTCAAAGTGTTGTTAACCTTAGAAGCCTAATCTATCCTAGCAAATCTTCCTACCCTACTAACTAGCCACCCACCCTCTAGCTAGCTAGCACTTAAATATCAGTCCCTCCCTCTTGTCCAGGTCAGTAATTTCTATAAAGGCCAGGGATCATCATAGTAATACAGTCTGGTTCCCCTATGATCTAATCCATTCCCGCCCTAGGATAGTTGAATAACAATATTACTTAATTAAATAATTTAATCCCGTCCTCTAATCAACTGATGTAATCATTTCCTCATTGCCTACTGTTTAAGTCATACCCCCAATTAATTCAATTTAATCATAAACCCCAATTAATTCAATTTAATCATAGACCCAATTAATCACCCACCCCAATAGACAATAAATAATCAATGAATTATCCCACTTTGCTTAATGAAGTCTAAGATTCCCTTTGGTTAACAAGACTATAATGTTATTAAAACCAAATCATTTAAGACACTGCCTGCCCACTGTAGTCGGATGGTTTCCTCCGGCCCCAAACTAGACATTGGGAAACTGGTATCTATTCATCAAACCCATCCATCACATTAAGAATTTACTGAACAGTGAAGTAGTTACTAAATATGGTATAAGATTCTTGATAAATGACTGTCAGACTTTGAAAAGCTGGTATCACTGGAACAAGTTCATCAGTTTTGTTGAATAAATTAAACGAAATAGTTTTAATTGGATTTTAATAAATTGATTCTTATTGCACAAGTATTTGTTCGACCTTTGAATTTTATTGTTCTTTTTCTTAGTGGGTCATCCAAACCGTTATTCTGAATAATGATTTTACAGGGTAAGGTAGGGGGCACTGGGGATGAGTTTATGGAACCAATGGAGTGGTTGCCCAAATAAGTTTGGGAACCACTGCTCTACACAGATAAGATTTCATGTTGCTGAACAGGAGGTCCCTCCTGAACTTGCTGCCCATGTCCACATCTGCTGTTGTGAAGTTTATCATCAATTTTTTTCCACAGCTACTCTATTAGCAAAGAGGTATATTGTCACAGTAGGAAAGAGAACATTAAATTCAACCCAATATGTAGTAAGATTTGGAGTCTTACAGCAGCAGCAGCAAGAGCCGTATAGCCATGTACATCGGCTATGTCTGGGTGAGCCAGGCTGTCCTTCAGGATCGTGTACACTCTGTGATAGTCTCCTTCTGCTGACTTCTCAATCAGCTGTTCAGATGCAAGTTCTTTGGGACCTTTGAGTCCAAAACCAATCCGATGGCCTTCGAGAATGAAATTAATATCCCAGTCAATGTCTGCCTGACAGTGCCTAAATGTGAGCAATAACAACATGGAACAGTAAGTAAATTCAAGTATATAATCTCCATGGTCCTAACCTCCCCAAAATGTTCTCTGAGCCTTGCCTTTCTTCAGCGAAAAGGATGCATAATTCTCCCTTCTGTCATCCAGATGTGTGGATAATTCTGTCATCACTTTACCTAAAAAACGGCCGCTTAATCTCCATGAATGGAGGGAAAGGTTGGACACCTATATTTTAATAAACCCATGTCTAGACTCTAGTGTAGGCAGGAACTCATATGAGAACAGCCTGCTGCATCCCATTTCAACACACAGGGTACAGAGGCCACGGCTTCCCCCAATGCTGCCTCCTAGCACTGGTATTCAGAGGCTTACTGCCTCTAGAAGAGACTGGATTTGTATCCCACCCTTCACTCAGAGTGGCTCACAATCTCCTTCCCCTCCTCTCCCCACAGCAGACACCCTGTGAGGTAGGTGGGGGCAAGAGAGCTCTGAGAGAACTGCTCTTGAAAGAACAGCTCTGAGGCAACTGTGACTGACCCAGCTGGCTGCATGTGGAACAGTGAGGAATCAAACATGGTTCTCCAGATTAGAATATGCCACTCTTAACCACTACACCAAACTGACTCTCTAAACATGGAGGCTCCTATTAGTCACCATGGCTAGTAGCTATTGATGGGCCTCTCCTCTATGTATCTTCCCAATCCTCTTTAACAGCCATCTATGCTCATAACTATGACTGCATCCAGTCCTGGTAAAATCCACAATTTAATTACTCATTGAGTAAAGAAGTATTTCCTTTCATCTGTCCTCTATCTATTGCCCATCGACTTCATTGCCCCCACCCAGTTCCAGTATTATGGAGCGTGAGAAAAAGTTATCTTTTAACTCCTTCTGTATCACATGCATAATTTTGTGAACCTTTATTGTGAAATCCCACCTGGGTCATTTTTTTTTAAACTAAAAAGTCCCAGACCCGACAGCGTTTCCTCATAGGGACAGCACTCAAATCCCTTAATCATCTTGGCTGCCATTTTTTCTCCACTTTTTCCAGCTCTTCAATATCCTGTTTGAGATATGGTGACCAAAACTATAACATTATTCCAAATGAGACTGTACTATAGATCCATACAAGGGCATTACAATATTGGCCATGTTATATTCAGTCTCTTTCCTAATAGTCCCCAGCAGGGCGTTTACCTTTTTCACTGCTGTTGTGCCCCAGGTTGACATTTTCATCAAGGTATCCACTACAATGCCCACAACTCTATCCCTCTCAGTCCTGGCCAGTTCAAAACCAGTCAGCATATATTTATTTGTTCCAACGTGCATCACCCTACAATTACGTACACTGAAGTGTAAAGTGATGCACACTGGAATAAAAATCCTAGTGGTCCTTCAAACAAAAACAAAAATCCATCGACATAGCCAGATGACAGGATGAAGCAGTCTTCTTGTTGATGTGCTAGTCTACTTTGTGGATTTTGTTCCTGAGGCCTTAGTGACACTAAGTTCTGTATCATCTCAGTGAAAATTAGTCCTCTATCACTCCCTTCTTCCAACAGTTCCAACACAGTGGAATGAAAGAAGACATAGCCATGCAAAAACACAAAGACCAGAGGTTCCCACTACATCTCCACATAACCTCCTCTCTGTATCCCTTCCAACCTCCACAAGCTAAATGGGAGATGGAGTTGGCCCAAGAGCCACTTTGGTCAGTTCCCATACTTCAAAGATTTTAAAGAATAATCATTTTCAGAAGATTATCTATGAATACCTGACAAACAGAACTACCACTGATTGGATTAAGGGAAAAAAACAAAACAAGTGACAGAGCTCACTTTGGTGCAAGTCTGCTGTGTAAATATGGAGTATTCTGGTAATTCAGCAGCAGCTAAAAGAACAGATGGTCACACGGAAAGATGGTGTAAGATTTTTAAAAAACACCATGCAAGGTGAACTGCAGTACACGGCTAGAAAGAAAAGCTGTAACTAACAATAAACACTCCATAACACTGCACTTTGATGCAGTTAACTAAAAAGATCAAATTTCCCCTATCATCCACTCCATCCCACTCACCAAAACTTACCTATATTTATAGACGTGTTTCTGCATTTTGACCATTAAAGGGGTTATATTGGTAACTGGCCACAGTTTTTCATAAGGCAATCGTTTATTTCTCTTAAAATAATGGGAATCAAACTCTTTCTGGAAGGTGCGAGTAAGAGGAAGATGATCTGTATCAATTGAGTATATGTACATCTTTTCAGGCAATGTGTAGGTGTCATCATTTAAGAGAAGACTTTTGTAGCAGTAGAAAAATGGATCCTTCTCCTCGTTCAGGTTCCACACTGTACTGTTCTCTTCAGAAATATATTGTTTATTGTCTTCAGCCTCAAAATAAACGTTGAGTTCTGGGAACTCCAGAAGAGAAAAATGCTTAGGAATTTCAGTACACAATTTAATTAAATGATTTCGATGCCACAAGCCAACATCTTGACTATCATCTGGATGGCTTTCAATCCCTGGACCAAATCGCTCATCAGCCTTGTAAAGCCCCTTTAGAAAAAGAAAAAAAGATGTAAAATAACACACTTTTAAGTGTACTTCCACAAATAATGCATACAGATTGCCAAAACACAACACTGGAATGATTACATTAGGGGTTCGGACATAGGCAAAACAAGGGTTTAATTAATTTAACTCTGGTTGGTATTATCATCCAATGCAGGAGACTCCACCAACTATGGTTACCTAGGGACAGTCAAAACAGAATCAGACCATGGTTTGAGGTTGTTTTACTGATCACAGTTCATCTTAACTACAGCATCAGGTGCTACCTTCACCAGAGTGCAGACCAAGATACCAGTCTCTCAGTCTTACTGTACTTCCTTCCCTGTACAATCTGTACCATGGTGAAAGATTCAATACTTGTCCAGAAGCCACAATGTCGGATCTCCTATTTTCATATACATTTTCTAAATACTGCAAAGATTGACAGTAATTCACCAGCTCAAGATATGTATCCAATGCCATTCTTGGCGTTGAACAAACTATACACTAACTGACTGAACTATATTAATTTTTCAGTTTTAAATAAGCAAGTCTGTACTAACTCTGGATGTAGTCCAGTGGAATAAGCCTCTCCACTCCTGCACTTGCAGCTGCTGGATGACCTTGGGCAAGCCATAGTTCTGAGCTGTTCTCGAAAGAGCAGTTCTGGAAAGAGCTCTCTCATCCCCACCTACCTCACAAGGTGTCTGTTGTGGAGAGGGGAAGGAAAAGCAGTTTGTAAGCCGCTCTGAGACTCTGAGTGGAAGGGCGGGGTATAAATCCAATCTCTTCTTCTTCTAACTCTGGATTACTGAGGGAGGAAAATCAGCAGAAAAAATGGATTCTGTAACTGGCATGATATAACATCACTTCCCTGTTTCTAATTACCTGATATATTCTTCCATCTTTAAATTCCATGGTCCCATAGCCTTCTTTATGGCTAAGATAAAATGACCCAGTGAATTTTGAGCCATCAGGCCAAAAGTAAACACCTTTGCCATGACGATGGTCTTTATAAAATTGGCCCACATATCTCTGTAACAGAGGAGAAAGAAAAATTATGCAGATACTAAGATATAAACACACAAGCTACCACTGTTCCTCAACACAATGGAAAACAGAATATTAGTGCATTGTATTGCATGTGATGGTGTTCATTTCAGCGCCTGTAAGAAAGCAGTACATAGTAGAAGGTACACATCAGTTAACAGAGCAGCTACAGAAACACAGAAATAACATTTCAAACAGTCATAAAAGGCATGTGATGCCATCTCCTGGGACTGAATTACTTCAAAATATAGACGCTGGACTCCATGACTAAATGTTCAGCCGTATAACATAAATATCTTCATTTATGAGGAAAGCTAGTAACTCAAAGAGAATAGATCTAGTTTTCCGTATGTGGGCATGATATATGTTCAAGGATGCAAAGGATGCATGCGGGCTGTTTGACTAGAGGAACCTAAAGAGACATACCACCAACCCTATGTAGGTTTATTCAAAAGTAAGCTACACTGAGTTCAGTGAAATTTATTTCCAAATATGTGTTCACAGTACTGTAGCCTTAAATTATTATCTATGAAAATTCAAAGCACTACGCATGATGTTCTGTCCCCACATGGGAAGAGGGTATAGCCTATCCTTCCTTTCAATATCCTCTCCATAGTCCTGGAAAACCCACTTTCCAAAAGTCCAAGAGATCCAAGAGCCAAGTGCAAGAGCTCAGGCAATGCTGGCAACGGCAACCAGCCACTGAGATACCACAGGAGAAAAGAGGAATGGGACTAGGGAGCTTTTGGGGAGAGCTCAGGAGGTGAATGAAAAGATTCCAGGGGATGGCAGTAGCCTTGGGCTGGAGTTTGGCTGCATACCGACTAGGGTTGTCCCAACAAACCAAGCAGTAGAAAGATTCCGCAAAGACAGTGAACAGGGAAGAGGTGAAGTACAATGGCATTTTCCAACTGACTACAGATATCTTTTGCAACCCTCTCCCAAAGAATTTTGTGGAAAGAAATAAAGACAGGATTTAAGTAATATTTTCAAGAGACACTGAACATGGTACTGTTTGCAAGTCAGGGAGGCTTATTCCACTTGACTACATCCAGGGGAAATGACTGCACGGAAATATATTGAGAACTACAACATTTAATAAAAACTGAATATACAGAGGATAAAGTTCAAACAAAGCTAGTAACCCAGCTCAATCCAGGATTTGCAGCCTTGGAAAATTTCATTAATATTAGATTTATTACAGAGAATTACTTTCGTTGCAATCAGAGAGACAGAAGGAAAGCATACACCGACTATTAGAAAGATTTGTGGAATTTTGATGCACTTTTCTAGTAAACATGATTAAGCATAATCAATGAAGCAGGAGCAATCTACTTGACAAAAGCAAGAAACAGAACGCAGGCAGTAATACGAAACCTGAACTATGCACTGTTCAATAAACATATGACTATAATTTATGGCCAAAACAAATATTTCTACCAAGTGAGAAAAATCTTTGCAACCCAAATCACTAGGGACAATCCAAGGACAGAAACAGATTTTCACAGCATGACAACCTTCTGGCTCTGATTCCCCACATGCAAAAGAATGCTTGCAAGGATGGGGGTGGGAGAGTGATACTAGCACCAGGAATTCACACCAAATCACATACACATCTGACAGCAACTCAACACTTGTAGGGTGAACCAAATTCAAGCACTCCTCCCTCTTCTCCTCCACACTACTCTCACCAAAGTGATGACACTGTCAGAACAATCAGCATTGTTCTGTACAGAAAAGGGGGGAATCTCAGATATGGCGGCATACAGATGGCAGTGGTGGCCAAGGGTGCCTTTCAGCAGCTGCAGCTGGTGAGCCAGTTGGAGCCCTTCCTGGGCAGAAAAGATCTTGCCACTGGGGTGGATGCCCTGGTAACACCTAGATTAGATTACTGCAATGTGGTCTGTGTTGAGGCTGCCCTTGAAAACTGTCCAGAAGCTACAGTTGGTACAAAATGCTGAGGCCAGAGTGCTGACTCTGTGTCATAGGGTCTTGTTCCCTCTATGCCGGCTTCCAATTTGCTTCCAGGCTTAATTCAAAGTGTTGATATTGACCTTTAAAAGTCCTGTACAGGCTGGGATCAACATACCTTAAGGACTGCATTCTCCCATACAAATCTTCCCACTCACTCCAGTCATCCTCAGAGGCACTGCTTCAGTTGCCCCCGTCATCTGAAGCTAAAGGTAATCCATGAAAGGGTTGTGGCACCACAACTTGGAACTCCCTCCCCAGGGAGATTCATCTGTCTCCCTCTATCACTGTCTTTCACCAGCAAATGAAGACTTTTTTGTTTCATCAGTTATACCCCCAATAGTGGTTATTGGTCCTCCTTCTAGTGCTGTTTTAAATAAAATTATTTCCTAACTTTAACTGTATATTTTATATTCCTTATGTTTGATGCACTGTGGACCCTGACTGAGTAGAAAGGTGGCCTAAAAATGTTTTAAATAAATAATTGCTTAAACATCAAACTGAAATTAATGTCATTTCTTCCAACAGTGCAGGTGTGAACTGCAGTTCATAGCTACTAACTGACTGCAGCCCACAGCAGTAACATCACAGTAAACCAATGAACATTTTGCATTTGGTTTTTAAATATGACCTCACATTTAATTCATATACAATGGACAGATTACTAGGATTTTGGAATGTTGTTCTTATCCATGGAGCAGAAGCCATACTTCAAATTTGGCACGTGGAGTTCTAAACAACTTGCACAGAAGTTTCAAAAGTGAAAAATTACCAGGATTTTCCTATTTACCATTTATTATCAACATTATCATTATTATTAGCAATAGCAATGTTTGGGGTGCAGGAACACACAGCATGCACACATTGTTAAAGTTACCTCACCACTATTCCATACAAATTCTCCATATCCAAGTTTTAGATCAAATCCAAATTCTCCTTTATAGATGGAGCCATCAGGCCACTCTTGAACACCTGTTGTAAGGTCAATCCTATTATTGTTGAAGTCTTCTTCACTAAATCTTTCTTGCCATCCACCGCTTTCTTCCCCATAATCCTCTGACTCTTCTTCATCAGCCTCATAATCTCGAGTAGACACTGGCTCATTATCAGTTTCATTCTCTTCTGTTTCCTCTTCTCTTTGTAAGATGGTATTTTCTGGTTCATCTTTCAATACCCTGAAATCATCATTATGAAGTGGCCTTAATTTTAATTTAACAAATTTAGATTATCCAATGCTGCAATCCTAAAAGCCCCGCATTAATCACTGCTAATCCAAAAGGTAGATTTATCTATTTATTTTAAAGCATATTTATCATAAAACTTTTCTTAAAACCCCAAGATAGCTAACAAAGATCAACAGCAAAAACCCTTTTCAGCCTTTCCTCATGGCTCAAAGCAGATTACACATACATATTAGTTACTAGGTAACATGCATGGTATGCTATGATTTATCAAAAAGAAACTATGAAATAACTCTGAGCACATACCTCATATTTCTAAACACAAAAGTCTTTCCACAGAGTACAGGTTGGATTCTGGGTCCCACCTTGTGCTCTGCACACACATGACTTTCAATTTCTCAATTCCCATGGACACAGTGCCTGATTCAGGGTGTTACTATGGCATGTGTGGAAAGGAGGCTTCAGCCTCCCCGCCTCCAGCATTTCCCCGTCTGTAGTAATCTCAAGAGTGCAGTAAGGGCACAACAGTCCCAGGAGTTTTCCCCGCAGACCAAACAGTATCCCTTCCAATTGCCGGGGGGGGGGGACGGGGACGGCGGGGGGGACTGAATTCCGTCGCCATGCAAAACACAGTCGAAATCCGAATCGGAAATTGAAACGAACATGCACGTCACGTGTGACTATCAGACCTAGGACACAGCTGGGGACTCCGGATTCAACCTGCGTACTCGATAATATGTGAAATCTGCATTAGACTTCTGCACCCAGATCAACGCCAACGTGGACGTCGTTCACACACGGCGACCTCACGAGTCCATGCAGACACATACCCCGCCCAGAAGTAAACGCTAATCTTAGGCGTTTCTAGGCTTCCACTATAGGACTCCAGAGGCAGCCAGCCCACAGTGCAATCCTATGAAGAAGAACCCATCGTCACACGGAAACCTCCGCTGGCTCCAGGAATGAGTACCCACCCCGAGACCTCCTTGGCAGTCTGGAAAGCCTCCATGCGGCCGGGCATCGGAGGAAGAGAAAGGTTCAGGCTCGGCCCGCGGCCTTCACCCCCGTGGCCCGCAGCCGCCGCTGAGCACAAGGAGGGAGGAGCGTAACAAAGGACCGGAGCGCCGCTGACCCTAAACGGAAACCCAAATCACAGAGGCGGCCCGGCAAGGCCGCGCTGACTCCTTCTGGTCTCCCCTTCCCCCGCTCCCGCTTGGGCCGCGCCGCGTCTCCGTTTCTATAGAAACCGAGAGGGAGTTTTGTGAGGCGCGGGCGGAGCTTATTCGTTTTTTGGCCGGCCGGCAAAGTTTACTTGAGCGTCGCCTGTGTCCTGGTGAATTTCCCAAACTTTCTCTCTGAACGAAGTTTGAGTCCAGTGGCACCTTTAAGACCAACAAAGTTTTATTCGAGGTATAAGTTTCCGCGTGCAAGCACATTTCTTCAGATCTGTGAAGTGTATACCTTGAATAAAACTTCGTTGGTCTTAAAGGTGCCCCTGGACTCAAACTTTGTTCTGCCGCTTCAGACCAACACGGCTGCCCACCTAAATGTTTCTCTGAAAGTTATTCCTCGAACCACGAACGTAATAAATACACTGGGGATTGGAATGGGGACCCTGTACACCTTCCAAATCCTTCCCTCATTGTTTAATGCCGACCCCCCCCCCTCCCCGCTGAAGTCACACATAAAATATATCGAGATTGATAGCCATGGTCTGTCTCTAGCATAAGCGCATCTGAAGAAGTGAGCAGTGAGTGACACACAAAAGCTCATATCCTGACACAAATGTTGTTAGTCTTTAAGGTGTTGCTGGACTCTTGCTCTTTTCTATTGAAATACATTGCTTCTAGTTGTGAAATGAAAAGAGAAATCCAGTGTTGCCTTAAAGACTTTCAAAAATTATGGCAACACAAGCTTGCAGGAAGTCAGAGCTCATTTAATCAGTGGCATCATCAGGCAGAAGTATTCATACTCCATCAGAGCCGGATTTAGGCATAAGCTAAATAAGCTACAGCTTAGGGCCTCGCAATCTGCTGGGGCCTCAAATAAAAACACAAAAAAAATTAAAAATGATTTTAAAAATCTCATAGAAAAATCACTCAAATGAAGTCAGACATATCACAATGATAAATTCTAAATAATTTTAAATATACAAAATATAGGTAAAGGTAAAGGTTTCCCTTGCTCAAAAGCCAGTTCCAGAGAGGGCCCTGCACTCACTGGGTTGAATGGGGCATCCTCATCTGCCTCTGCGGGGGGACGGGGGAGAGAACATCCCTTTAGTGTATTTTCTGTTGCTCTCTCACTCCCCCACCCCAAAAGGGGTCTTCCTCTTGTAATCTTGTGGTACATTCATTGTATACATGTAGTGGAATTGTCTGCTCTTCCCCTAATATCTGTGTGATTTGGTTTGGTCCTGTTGGATGGAGCTCTTGTTTCAGTTTTGTTTTGTATATGCTGAATGGACCTGAGAACAGGTG